GCGATGCCTAAAGCTACCAGCCCAGCCAGGTGCATAGAGTTCAGATAAACAGATGTGAGTCTTACAGACAGGTTTTCCAAGCTTGTTCTCAGGTACAAGGGTTCCAGTCAACAGCAAGCAATGCTATGCGTTACAGGACAAGACATGGGCTTCTCTAAGCACAGCTAAAGGACCCAGGAGGTGACAAACGGCCACGGGGCCCAGTAAGACATGGAGAGGGGCGGGGGAAGAATTGGGGTTTGGAGTAGTTTATGCCACAGATGTACAGTTAGTTAAAAACCCTAAAAGCACCATGGGCACTACTCACGCCCGGACAGGGGTCACACAAGGCAAGACTGGCCACTATTGCTGGACATTCACAGACTAAAATACTCAAGCACCTGATTTTAGGGGAAGAGAGAGAGAAGGCCAGGAAGTGGGGGGGGGTGTGTGGAATAGACAGGGGACAGACAGATCAGCTGAAGCTCTTGCTGCCTAGAACTACAACCCCTTATATAGCATGGCCATCTCATAATCAAACTGCCTTCTGAGGAAGATACCAACAGCCTTAATTGGGGTCCCTGCCACGTTATATGTATCACACAATCAACCGCCCAGTCGCACAAGATCAACTGGCCATATATGCAAAGCAATTATCACGCCATAATTACAAGTTAGTGCTCAAAAGCATGTACCAACTTTATAGCTGGTTTCTCTCCAGCTTTCAAGTGAATACGGGACAGGGCCCTGAAAGTTCTCTATGCCGCAGCCAACAAGTGGGCATTCTGGCTGTGGCAGCCCAGATAGGAAGTAGGCCTAGATGCAGTGGGTAGCATAGGGCAGCGGTCAAGATGCTGTGAGGTTCCCTACCTGCTGCAAGAGGTATAATCAAAAGAAATGGTCAACTACGAAGCAAGTCAGTCTCACTACAACATTTCACAGCCAAGGAAAGAAAGAGAAAAAACATGCCCTTTCTTCTTTTTTTTTTTTAAATAAAGGGAACTTGTTAGCTTTTCTTTTTGCAGGTCCCCTTCCTGGAACAAAAACTTACTAGCCAAGGCCACACTGCTTTAGGCCTGAATATCTGCTGAGAGATTCGTGGTGCATCAGATAGTACCATGATCATTCAGTCACATTTTTATTTTTTTGATACCTGTGCATACAGGATGCTTCGGTATTTTCCACCGGAAAAAAATCCCCCTGCAAGTCGAGAACGTGCCACTCTCCAGAGAGTTTGAGGGGCCTGACTGGCATCTGTCACGCTCTACGCCATGCCTTGGATGGGGGGAAAAAAACCAATTAAAAGGAGTCAGGTTCTAGCCAGACGCCCTCAGCTTTGACATTGGAAGGGTGCATCGTGGATAGACCACTCAATATGAGGGGATTAGATTCACCAGGCTCTTGTGCCCGGTGCTCGGAAGCTTTGTCAACGAGATGGGATAAAACTCAGTGGTTTACAAATCAGGAGAGAAACTTAGGCAGGAAGTCTCGCTCGTTCCTGAACAAGATCTCCTGGCTGCCACCCGAAAAGAACGGGTTCCCTTTATGGGTCCAGCTGGCACCCACTTTTTCAATAAAGGGCTTTGGAAAATGGGACGTTCATCTGTCACTAGATCTGGGTGCTGAGACCTGTGCGCCGCAAGTATTTACATGGTAGTTTTATTTCTCCATTTCTCTCTTTTTTGGTGCTATACAAGATTTACATTTTGTGGGGGGATTTTGTACAGCAGATGGTTTGACATCATGACGGTCTGGAAGGGGGTTTTCCAGGGTCAAGACTGGAAGCTCAAATGAAAAAAAAAATTACAATAGTAATAGGGAGAGAGATATTGAGAGATCTAGCAAGGTTCCTGCTTTCCTTCAAAGGGATTTTGTCCCTATGGAAGAGAGGGAAAAAAACCTCTCTCTCTCTTTATATATAGAGGAGAAGCGTCCAAGCCTTCTGGCTGTGGAGGGGAGATGGGTAGATTGTTATCACCTCTTTGGGGCAAAGAAATGGGGCAAAACTTCAGGTTTTGTCCCTCCTACATCAGCTGGGCTTGTTCAGAATGTAGAGTGGGAAAGGGGGATATCTATGCCAACAGATATTTGGGGTGGGGTGGGGCAGGGGAGGGTAACGTTCTTTGCCTGTTATTGGTCTTAAAAGGGGCAAGCCTGAGGAGAATAGACAACAGCCCTGTGAATCCTGCAAGCCAACTCCCTTCTCCATTCCCCCCACTTCCCGGCCATGCCTTTATTAACAAACCTCTGTTCCAAACAAGCTTGGAGCTAAGCCCCTTCTCAAGAAGACAGTGGCCTACATGTCGGTCCCAACTTCTCCCTGGCCTGGAATCCTGACTAACTACCCACCTCCTCCCCAACACACTCCCCTTCTAGGGTGGGCTGGAAGGTCATACCACGCCGTAGGGTTTTGGACGTTGATGCCTCACTCATCGTGCCGCCCCAGCTCTGGGTGCCAAAGTGAATGCCACAGAGGGCAGCTTTTTTGGCGCCTGCTGTCTGCTCCTACGTGCTTCCTAAGCAGCTGATTCTAACCGATACAGCCACTGGCAAGGGACTGTCACTGCCCCGTCACTACCACATTGAGTAGAAAGGTAAGGCTAGGTACTGCCATTCAGCCAGAAATGGGGAAAAAAATAAAAATATTTCTCTTGAAAAGTAGAGGTACTGTCTGCACCTTTGCAAAAAACTTAACTGGCTCACAGCAGCTGAGAAAAAAAAAAGGAGTCAATTACCACTGAAGCAACAAACTGAGTTGGTCTATACATCATTTAAAAAATGGATGGAAGGAGAAAAAAAAATATTACTACCCCTCATCAAATTACAGCAATATACAGCAAAGGTTTGCAGCCTTGAGTCTTCATTGCTGCCTCTGATTTCTTAATTCAGGGAGTGAGAGGTTGCCATGACTTGATCTCAGCAGCTCGTATCTGCTGGACCCAGCATGTTAAAAAAAGAAAAATCATCAAGGCATGTTCTCCGCTGCAAAGAACCCAGACATGTTTGGAACAAAATACATAGGTAAAATACAGCAGGACGTTATCCAAAACAGCTGCCTCGGAGTACAAAAATACAGTACTAGTAGGTTGGATGTAATTAAAACATCGAGAAATACTATTGCTCCCGGGAAGTTGAGGAAACCCAGATCTTTGCAACGGAGAAGCAGCCAAAAGAGAGAGAGTTCAGAAGGAGGAAAAAAAGAGAAAGAGTCAAATTCTCAGTTAAAAATCCGTGTTAAAAAGACCTGTGACGGACCATGGGAATAGAGAATTGCTTTCAAAAACCAAATAAAAAAAATGGATGCATAGGGGTGGCTGATCACTTGGTTACTACATTAGGGGTAATTCTGCACACCCTATGGCCTATGTATTTTTTTAACCTCTCCCCCTTTGTTGCTGTGCCACCCCCAGCTAGCCACAACCATGAAGAAAAATAATGGCTGTTGATGCTGGTGGTTTTCAATAAATACAAAACTAAGAACAGGGGAGAAGCAATACTACCTTCCCCCCCCCCTCCTCAAAATAATAAGGGGAAGATGGACACCAGGGTCTGCATGAAATTAAAAAGGCAGCTCAAATCAAGAGGACGGGCATGCAGCTAAGAAAAAAAACAAAAACAAACAACTGATATAGCCTACGGTGTCTCACAAGGAATACCCGAAACTTTGGAATGAACAGTGTCGCTTGCCATTCAGTTCCAAGTGACTAGGATACGAACACGCGGCGAAAATACCTTGGCTTTTCTATCTTTCTCTTGGCAGAGGGGGGGGAGGCGAGTGACTGGACTGAGCTAAAGAAAAAAAAAAAAGTGAAAAATCCAGTTAAAAGCTAAGGAGGAGGGATTCTTGCCCAGCTCCCTCCCAACCCCTCACCCCTCTTGCAGCTCAGCTCCAGGATCGGACTTGCTGGCTTCAGCTGAGATCTCAAGGTGGTTGGGAAATCCAATGCCGCCAGGGCGTTTCAAGAGTCGCATAGTGGAGCTGGGGGCTTCGGCCGCCGTGAGCAAAGTCCCGCCGGCTGCCCCTCAGGCGTGTGGTTCTTGCTGATACAATGTGCTGTGAGGTACTGAGAGATCTGGGGGGACTGGGCTGGAACCTTTGCCTTTGCTCTCCACTCTCCAACCCCAGCTGGAAGGCCATCCTTGCTGTTTCCCCTACACCCCCCCCCCCCCAGGAGCCAGTTGGCTCCAATTACTTCCAGCCATTTCTCTTCAGAGACAACCTTATTTGGAGAGAAAAGAGGGGGGTGCAACTTCCCCCCAGCCCCCTCTCTCTTCCCCAAGCTGCCTTGTGCTTCGTGCCCAATTTTTTGTCTTCAATTTACCCTCTCTTTGCAGCCCTGTGTTGAAGGTGTTGGGACAGATATTCAAGGGAAGAAAAGGATCCAAATAAAGAAAGAAGGGTCCTTTAGCTCTGAAGAGAACTGGCAGGTTTCTCTGAGAATAGGTTGTTTGAGAGGGGTGCTGGAGGATAGGGGTCCAGTATGGAAACCAGCCATTCAGCAAAGGAAACCAAGATCAGCCTGGACATTGGTCCAAAAAGAGAGAAATCAACCCACCCCCGGTTTCCCCCTATACTAGGTTCATCCCTCGCTAGATGCCCCTCAACCTCTCCTCTGTGCCCCTGTCTTCTGCCCCCTCTGGTTGATTTCTAAGTGGAGGGTGATGCCCCCCATCACCACCCGTCTTTCTTTGGGTAGCGGCAGCAGCCTGGATGCTGGTTTCATTGGTGGAGCAGGCAGCATCTCCAACGGATGCAGGGTGGTGGTGGGGGGGATCCATATGACACCTCCACTTCTCAGGGCCCTGAAGATATGGGAGGTTCCCAGCTTGCCTCAAGATGATGGGGGTCATGGCAGGTCTTCCAGGCTGGTAGAGCTCTGATGGGGAGTGGGGAAGAGTCCTCCGGTCCAGCAGGATTCCCCCAGTCCAGCGGAGCTCTGATGAGGGCACTAGCAGGCCTCCCAGTCTGGCAGGGCTCCGATGCCGGAGAGCTGGCAGGTCCTGCAGTCCAGTGAAGTTTCCAGGGAGACTTGCAGAACTCTGGAGGGAAGGTGAGGTGGTCTCTCAGCCTAGCAGATTTCCAAGGGGATCCCCCACTCTGGCATGGCTCCAGGGGAATCCCCCAATCTGGTAAGGGTCTTGGGGCACTGGCAAGCTCTCTGAGAGGAGAGGGATCCTACACTCCGGCAGGGCTCCAGAGGGATCCCCCAGTCTGGCAGAGCTTGCCCACTCCAGCAGGGCTCTGGGGGAGTCCTGAAGTGCAGTGAAGCTCTCGGGGGCGGCTGGCAGGACACCCCTCCAATGGGGAGGATCCCACACTCCAGCAGGGCTCTGGCAGGATCCCTCAGGTCAGCGAGACACTTGGGGGCGCTGACAGGGCTCTGATGGGGAGATCCCCCAGTCCAGCAGGGCTCTGGTGGGATCCCCCAGTCCAGTGAGGCTTGTGGGGGCATAGGTGCTGGCAGGGCTTGGGGTGGGGGGGTCCATCCTCTCTCGGGGGCACCTAGCGGGGCTCAATCGTCATCCACATCATCCGCCTCCGAGTCGTCACCGGCACCGCTCCCGCTGCCGGGCCCTGGAGGCCCCGCTCCTCCACCAACTCCCCCAGTGCCCGGCCGGCGGTCATACAGCTTGTCGCGCTGGCGCTCCTGGATGTCGCGCATCTCATCAGCATAGCGGCAGAAGGCGCCACCGAACTTGGCCCAGGCCTTGTAGGGCACGGTGATGGCGTTGCGGTAGGCTGGCTTGACCTCGCTGACGCGCAGGAAGACACCATACTTGTTGCAGCCCACGTCAAAGAAGAAGCGCTTGGAGTCCACGGTGATGGACGTGCCCTCAGGCAGCTCTCCACCGCCTGCCCCCGCGCCGCCTCCCAGCGCCAGCCCTGGCTCATCGTCCTCGGCCCCGTAGTCGTCCAGCAGCTTGGCCAGGGCATCACGGAACTCGATGAGGCCCTGCGCGGGCAGCGCGATCGTCTGGCCACTCTGCAGGCCCGAGGCGCCCGCAAAGGCCCCGGGGCCGCGGTTGAGGGTCTGGCGGATGCGCAGGAAGCGGCCACGCTGGTTCTCCTTCAGGTCCAGGTAGTACTTGCGGTTCTCCCGCACCAGGAACTCGCTCTTGAGCGCGCGGCGCGGCGGCTCATCGGGCGGCGAGGCCGAGCTGGCGCCGGCTGGAGGCAGCGGGTCGGCGGGGCTGGGCCCCAACTGCGCGTAGTGCTCGATGAAGTCGCCCAGCGCGTCACGTAGTTCAGCCGCCACGGCCATGGACAGCGTGAGGCGGCTCTTGGCCCCGCCGGCGCCCACCTCGGCGATCTTGAGGAAGCGGCCCTTGGCGTTCTGCTTCACGTCCAGGTAGAACCGCTT